TTTCCAACGTTTGGGGTCACCATCAATCCCAGCAGCTCCGGGCCCCCATCCCAACCCCCCGCGGTGGCACAAACTGGTGGCACGGTGACCTCTGGCCGTCCCACCTGGGTCGAAGGTCTCCACGCCGCGGTGCATCAGGCTGATGTCCAGGCGGCAGAAGTGGACGGCGTTGTAGAGGCCGGAGATGACCACGCGCCACACGGCGGCCATGACGCCCACCAGGACATTGGTGGGGAAGAGCAGGAAGGTGACGATGTACAGCGCGCGCCTGCGGGGCAGACATTCCCATGGGATGGGGCAACTCCGGCCACCCCAGACCTCCCGGCCCCACCCACGTCCGGCCCCGGTGGCTCCGTCCCACTGCGAGAAGACAAAGCCCTCCCAAGCTCCTGGAGAACCATCAGGAGCTCCTTGTCTCCATGGAGATCGGGGAACCGGGCAAAATGTGGGGTTGGAATTTTGGGATGGAGGCCACCAGCTCCAGGAGAGCCGCACTGGCCCCCCAGGACACCTGGGTCCCTCTGTCACCCCAGTCTGGGGTGGTGACACCACGTGGGAGCGGCATCTGCTGGTGGCCTGGGATGGACACTGGCGCGAGGAGAGCTTCTGTGACCTGCTGGGGGTGGCACAGGACACTTGGGTCTTTCTGTCACCCTGGGCATGGGTGGTGCCACCATCGCTGAGTAGGGGACATCTGCTGGTGCTTTGGGATGGAGTCCAGGAGAACCTTCATGCCCTGCTGGGGGGTGGCACTGGACATTTGGGTCCCTCTGTCACACCGGTCTGCGGTGGTGCCACCATCGCTGAATGGGGGACATCTGCCAGTGCTTTGGGATGGAGTCCAGGAGAACCTTCATGCCCTGCCAGGGGGTGGCTCTTGGGTCTTTCTGTCACCCTGGGCATGGGTGGTGCCACCATCGCTGAGTGGGGGACATCTGCCAGTGTTTTGGGATGGAGTCCAGGAGAACCTTCATGCCCTGCCAGGGGGTGGCACTGGACATTTGGGTCTTTCTGTCACCCTGGTCATGGGTGGTGTCACCATCCCTGAGTAGGGGACATCTACTGGTGCTTTGGGATGGAGTCCAGGAGAACCTCTGTGCCCTTCTGGGGGGTGGCACTGGACACTTGGTTTGCTCTGTCACCCTGGTCATGGGTGGTGTCACCATCCCTGAGTGGGGGACATCTGCCAGCGGTGACCGACCCCACCTGGCCGATCCTGAGGGATCTGGGCTTGGAAGTGGGACCGGTGGAGCACCAGCGTCACCCCACTAAAATCCAGGCCAGAACATCTGGAGAAACCTCCTGGGGGCTGGAATTCCTGCCAGACCCCAGCTGGGGACAGTTGGGGACAGCTGGGGACAGCTGGGGACAGCTGGGGACAGCTGGGGACAGCTGGGGACAGCTGGGGACAGTTGGGGACAGTTGTGGACGGTGGGGGACGGTGGCGGTGTCCCCGTACCTGTTGGTGATCTCCTTCTGCAGGGAATGCTGCTCCAGGAACTGGGAATGGGCCAGGAAATGCTGCAGGAGCACGGCCACCACCAGGGCCAGCCAGAAGGGCCTGGAAGAACACCGGGAATGGGCCAAAACATCGGGAACATCCCAAAATATTGGGAAGATTCTAAAACATCGGGAATGGCCCGAAACATCGGGAATGGCCCGAAACATCGGGAATGGCTCAAACCACTGGGAATGGCCCAAAACATCGGGAATGGCCCAAAACATTGGGAATATCCCAAAACATCGGGAATGGCCCAAATCATTGGGAATGTCCCAAAACACTGGGAATATCCCAAACCATTGGGAATATCCCAAAACATCGGAAATGGCCCAAACACCGGGAATGGCTCAAAACACTGGGAATGGCCCAAAACACCAGGAATGGCCCAAAACACCGGGAATGGCCCAAAACATCGGGAATGGCCCAAAACACCGGGAATGGCCCAAAACACCAGGAATGGCCCAAA